TTAGATTAAATATGGTGACATATATTAATTATGCGCCTATTTTTCTTCAATTTCGGAACTTTGCATACTTTCAGTAAAGTTGAAGCGCCAAATTTAATTCTTCGAACAAAAAAAAATTATTCTGAAATAATTTGAAAATTTGTTTCAGGTAACTCTACATCATTTATCTCAAAATAAAAATAATAATGAAGCAAAGTCAAAATGCAAACACACACAGAATGTTCAGAAATAACATTGCTTCTGGAGTGGATGTCAGATTTTTGTGATGATATTGATTTGTAATAGTTTTAATTATAAGTATTAATTTAATTTTTTTTCATTTAATTATAAGTATTTTAATATTATTTATTTTAAACATAAAAAGAAACGCATTCATGTTAATTATGAAATATTTATTTTGGCAAGTTTAATATCAACAAAGCAAGTATTCTTTCCATAAATTAATTTACAAAGAAAGTTTGATGCTAGTTTAATATCAAGTTTTATCATATTTATTAATAGAATATTTTACATATCATTGATTGACTAAGAAATTCACTATAATTTAAATTAATAATAAACTTAAGTTAATAAATTATATTTAGCAAAAAATTTAACTACATCTTTTAATATCTTATAATCAAACCCGAAACAGAATTAAATAATATGCCAATATTACTTTTAATTTAGTAATATATTTGATCCCAATAAATTAAATAGTATCACAGAAATTACAACATTGACTGCCGTAATAAATTTTTATAAAGTCATTTAAAATCAAATTTTTTGTAAGAGAATTGAAAATTGAGACTTTCAACCCTTTAAAACGCATATTTCTCAAAAGCTCAAAATCAACTTTAATAAGATTTGTTTCATTATAGCCAATGATAAGTGAGTTACACACATATGAAATATAAAAATTTTGCATTAGTTATCCCACAAGTAACAACAAATATATTAAAAAACAAATTGAAAAAAAAAGTGAAAAGTTTTAACTGGCTGACCAGACAAATGGTTCTAGTCTATCCTCTAAAGGCAAACAATTATTCAAAGTATTTAAACTTTCTAAAGTTTGACTTAAGAGCATATGACATTTCTTAACCTGATGTGAAACATCATAAACCTTTGATAGTTTTTCCGCGTACTTTGCATAACGTTTCTGGTTGTCCGTTAAACCAGCCATCAGACGATTTATATCTGCATCAGTCTGAATAAGAAGAAATTTGAAACTATAAACGCAATATAATGTTAAATAATAATAAGCACCATTATTTGACTTTCGAGAATAATGAGCGGCTCGATAATAATAATACGATAAAGAGTTACTAAACTGAATACCAAGATTACTATCACAGAGATAATATATGTTTAATATAACTGGAGATGCATAAACAGTTGATAAATAATAAAAAGTGTATAGAATATAATTTATGTACGTTATAAATAAATTCAATACATACCTCTTTTATTTTTTGAACAATATTATTTTGTTCAGCTGCCACATCATTAGCCCTCGTTGCATAATGAGCTTGCATTTTAAGACAAAGGGCGCGTAGTGGTGCAGGCTGCAAGCGTTCTAATACCTATAACGTAATATAAATATACGATTTAATTACATCTTTCAACATAAATCCAAAAAAGTTTCTTGCAAACTAATAACATTCTTCTTTGTTTTATAATTTGAATAACGATCTTATCATAAATAATCATCTTAGAAAAAAGTTTAGAAAATTATTTAGTCTTGATTAGAAGAACTTTAATCCGCTTAGAATCGACGACAACATGATAGTTTTAGCTATAACTTATTCAAAACCGTTTCCAATCTCATAATTACTCTAAATGTTTACTTGATTCGATTTTAAAAAAACGCATAATGCCATTATACAATATTTTCTTTACCTCTGGATCCCTATGAGATGGTAAATTCAAAGTCCCTCTCATAACAGGTAAAAACATTGGAATGCTTTGAAGTCTTTGAATGTCAGGATCCGATTCTGGTCCCCCTTGTGCAGCTCCTGATTTCACAACAACAATATTATGCGCCTTAGTTGCGCGTCCTAAAGCTGCAGAAGCGCTTGCTGGCGGCTGTTTGCTGTTTGAAGAATATTTGCCGCCTTGGGCCTGATTTTTGTTCTTGCCCAGGCCCGTGCTTCGCGACCTCGTCATTAGAGGTTGTTTGAGATTCTTGTTTTTTAATTTTGGTGAATCTGAAGAAAAATGATTAATTAAAAGTATAATATTTGAAAATGAAACTTAAACATTATAATACAATAATAATAATTCGATAAAAAGTGAGATTTTTGACTCAGTTGTTGGCTTTTTACGGCAATAATATGATTCTGACATTTTTCCTTTACTAATGTTTATTCTTATTACTTATTTGATAATCGTTTAGATATAAATAAATATAGTAGTATGTGTTAGGTGCTCATTAGTTTTAAATTCAAACTTCGAAAGCATGCAGCTTGAATCGTAACCGTGAAAATTCCTAACTCGTACCGCTTTAATAGAGAGCGTTTTTTTAGTGGTACCAAAACACATTTTTGAAAAATCTAAAGATTCTTATATTAATAAAAAACTTAAAATTAAAAAAATTCTTAATCATTAGCCAACTAAATCAGGATTTAGTAAATACCAAACATTGTATATAATTTTATTTACACTAAATATTACGGGCATTTTCCTTAGGGAGTTCCACTTAGGCAACCTTACTCTATATAGTCAATCGACCTGGTTGTAGCAGAGGCCAATGTCATAACCGTAGTATGCTAATAGTATCAAAATGCAATCAAATTCCGAATAAAAGCTCTTGAATTATTTTTCTTAATATAATTTTTCAGTTGCTTTAGATCATTTGCCATGTTTCAAACCAAATAATGCAGTAATATTTATAGTTTCCACGTAAGTAATTAGAGCATACTGTATTATTTAGTACTAGCAAACCCGACGAACGTTCGTTTCGCCACCAGGTGGTTTCGTGAGAAAGATGAAGAAATTTTTTGTTTGTTTTATATTTGAAAAGGAAAATTTGATTTTATTATACAACAGTAATGAATTTATTTCGATTACAAAAATAAAGTGTTTTTTAGTTGAACTTCTCTAAGTAAATGAAAGTGAATCCACAAATTATCCGTTTCATTGAAGTGCTCTTTGGTAAACCACATTTTTGTTTTTTGGTCTGACGTTAACACAAACAAAGGGATGGTTTTCCAACTCGTGAACAGGCAACGTATAACTGCCCATGTGAAAAAATGATTTTCTAAATAATCTATTTGAAATTTATCCCGCAAACACTAAGCGATTGGCCTTTCGACTTGTTATTGCGAACGCAAGGCGAACTGGAAATTGCAATCGTTTGAAGTCAAACGGAAGACCAGTCGGAATCATAGGTATGTCACCAAATCGCCAGAAATTTTGATTGAATGGTGAAATTCAGTGCGTGTACATCATTATTCTTTGCGGCAAGAATTGCTCGTTGACTTAACCAAGCATAATTCTGATAATTCTCACTAATGTCATTACTCGAATTTTTAATTACGGTGCGTGAAGTTCCAGCAGCTTGCATTAAGGCACGATGCCATGCACAACTAATTTTCTTAGCTATAAACCTTGCGGAGCCCGAGAAAGAATGCAAAATTGTCGAAATCGGTTCGTGCGTTCTGGAGTTATTTTGTCAGGAAGGGTAACCCGACTTATTTTTATATATATATAGAAGATAGTAGGATTTATATCTGATTAACTTAATTTTCTACTCATTAATTTGCAATTACCTCCAATAGGTCGATTGACAGTGTATGATATATACGGCAAATCGGCGTCAGAACAGACGCTCGGTCCAGGAGATATGCTTGTAGGCCGCTCCATTTTGGCGGCCTCGCATCCGGAGGCAGCGATCGTGTGGCCGCGTACCAACCTGCCGCCACTGCGGGGGCTCTCGCTCCTCCTGGCGTTAGAACTTGCCTCCCGAGCAGCCGCCGCCGATGATTGCTCAGAACCCATGATTCGCCTGGATTAAATCGTAATCTGAAATAAATATATTGCATTAATGAAAACCACAAATTTTTGAAAAAATTCGAGATCAAAAAAAGAAAGTGTCTTTTGTGTAACAATATAATAATAAAATTAGAACTTCCTGTCCAATAAGGGAATTTAAGTCAAGGCCTAATCTAAGAAAGTATCAGAAGTGTTTTTAAAGTTATTCACATATCTAATAAAAATATGCAAATTATCTATGAGTTATATCAACTTTACTCATATATTCTTTTTCCTATTTTTAAGTTGCAAAATGCAACTTAGATTTAAATATATTTGGATTAAAAAATATATGTATAACAAGATAAACCATACTATACTTAAGGTATTGATCTTCTATTACGAGGAAAGTAAATTTAAGTATGTGATGATAGGTATAAGGTTTTTTTTTATTAACTTGATCATGCACATAGGTAAGGTGTAAAACCAATTGTTCAGAAGATACAAGAGAGTAAATCTAAAAACTACATCCAATGATACTGTTTTTCACAAAGTTGAGGTGTAAAATGAGAAAAGACGTAGAATAAAAAAAAGAAAATTTCATTTATTATTGGAACTAAACTAACCATTAAAATCTTTTTTTTAAATATTCTGTGAAGTATTTGTTCTAGCAATCTGCATAAAAACTTTTAACATATTGCTGATATAAAAGTCTTGTCAAATGATCGCTTATTGAAATATAAATTTTACTCTAGTAGTAAGGTGACCATACGTCCCGGATTGGCCGGGATAGTCCCGATTTTCCGCCTTGCGTCCCGGCTTTTTCTAAAAGCAATATTTGTCCCGGTTTTTAGGTGTTTTGTCCCGGATTGTCCCGGATTTTCAAAAATGTTTTGAATGCCAATATTTTTTTTAAGTAGATTTCAACTAGAAAATTTGAACCGAAAACACCTCCCCCACTCTCGCTCTCGCGAACATTATAATCCGTCCCGGATTTAATGCAAAAAATATGGTCACCTTACTAGTAGTAAGCATCGAATTTTTCTATTTACTTCAAAATTATATTTTATTTTATATTTATTAAAAGCAATGGGCTAATTTGTAGAATTTCAAAACATATAAAAATTAGCTAATCTTTTCTAACCTATATAAAACAAGTTCTTGCAATAGTTCACAGCAAATCTGATTATCTTAATGTAATTATCATTAAAAAGTAATGCATTTGATAAAATGTAAATAGTGACACATGTCGTGTAAAAAAATCGTGCTACCACGCTTGTTGAACAAAGAGGGGACTGGGTCAATTATAAAGGCACGCTCGCAATTTCTGGTATAATTTGATATATTATAATTTTTTTTTCTCTAATGTATGTGTATTTGTCATATGATAATAATCATATTTTTATTAACAATTTGTTATGGAAACAAATATTTTTTCAATGATGAAAGATTGGTTACAACATTGCTTCTTAACAGTGTAAAAATGAATTTTTAGAAATAATTTTTTTAAGTTGGTTTGAAGGACAAATGTTCGCAATTGAAATATGTAATATTAATTTTAGAACACGGAAACTATAATAAATATTAATTTTTCAAATAGCACAACAGGTCTATGGTAGTTTAAGTTTTATACTGAAGTCTCAATTTTCTATTTCGCCTAAAAATTTATTAGGAAAAATAAAAAATACATGTTAACAAAACCTACAAAATCATTGATTTAAAAACAAAGCAACAATAATAAAATAATGATAAAAATATTACAGTAATTTAGACACAGTCAAGTTCATACTAAGATATAAAATAGTTACATCCTACAATAGGATCGCATAATCAGAAAAACCGTTCAGAATGCCTTTTTGTCCGGGAACAAAAGAATGATCTGAAAATGTGCAAACTGTGACACACTTTTCATTTATCTCGTTAAAAGAACTTTTGAATAGATTCAATAAGCGGAAAATTGTGTATTCTTTCTATCGCAGCAACGTTGTCTTCACACAAAATAAAATCTTAAAACCCACTGAGCATCTAGTATATTTTTTGTATTCATATTGTTAACACGTGTATTAGTAAAATTTTACATTTTATACCGCCTTTTTCAAATCCGTTTAAAGCTTTGTAATATTTATTGCCGTTTAATAAAAACTATGTGTGATTAAGGATAAAATGAAAAAAATGCGTGATGTCTTAAAGGTCAACCGTTCAAATCTATTTCCAATTGAAATCGGTATAAAAAGTCAAATGTCACGAGTGAAATAATACAATGTTTGTTAAAATCAATACTCTAAGTTATATATATTTTTTCTTATCAATTTTTAATCAGGCGATGGTGAATAGTGGAACTGTAAAATTTATTAACAAAAACATAAATGATACAATAATGAAGCATGATAAAAATGACATTGCTTTTGATATAGGAGACTATAATTTTACAGAATATTTCAGAAATTTAGATTCTAGAAAAACAGATTTGAAGATTGTTACGCACACAGCTAATAATGAAGTGACCAATTTGCAAAATCTCGATTCCGTTTCAAAGAAAAATGTATTAAGAAGAAAAGGCAATACAAGATTTTTAGATTTGTTCAGTATTATTAAATTTGAGAACAAACCATGTTCGTTGGAGTATGATCTTTTAGAAACAACTGATGGAACGTGTTATCATAAGACTGAATGCGATCGCCTTGGAGGACTTGCGGTTGGCAGTTGCGCGAAAGGTTTTGGTGTCTGCTGTATTTGTAAGTGAAATTAAAAATTTTTGTAATACTTGTAATCAAAATTACTTGTAAATAGATAAAAACTCACATTAATATTGTCTAAAAGACACATCATTTTATATATCTCTAACACGTAGTCCGCAGGAAAGTGTGTAAGTCCGATAGTTTAGCTGAGAGAAGCCTCAAACTTCCTTGACAACGAACATAAATTAAATACTTTAAGTTCGAGAATTCTAATAATATATTATTATTGTTAGTATTATTATAAATGCCATTTCCCAGTTTCGCTAAAATGCGGTGACATGTCTCTACAAAACGTTAGTTACTTCGAGTCTCCTGGTTTTCCCAAACCAACTTCATCAAAATTAGCTTGTGCTATAACAGTGGTGGCTTTACCTGGTGTACGACAATTTAGACTCGACTTTTTGTCGTTTGAGGTAACACAATAAACATAGATAATAAAATAAAATAGTATACATTAAAATCGCATTATTTATTGAAGATGCAACCGCCGACAAATGGAGATTGCATAGAGGATCAACTTCTAATTTCTGGACAAATGGGAAACAAGTTGCCCCCAATGTGCGGAATAAATACGGGACAACACAGTAATAATTTACCATAAAGTTATTTAATTACTAGTGCAATACATTGTTGATAACGCCCAAAAACAGATATTAAAATTAAATATATATTTTTTTACACATTTTGGATCCTGATTTTAAAACAGTTCGATTCATAAGTATGCAGACAAAAATTTGTTACATTTGTAAGCCGTTCAATGATCAAGACATTGGTCTATCCGAAGCTTCACAGAACTTATATTTTAATTTTTGGGCCAAATCAATAACTTTGCATATAGAAGTCGATGAATATAGAGTCTTACAAATTAACATACACTAACAGGTATATATTTTAGTGTATTTGGACGTATCACAGTCCAACTTCCTCATGGTGAGCGCCTTAACAAATTCGGATCGTTTGCGGCAGTATCGTATAAAGATAACGCAATTGACACCAGAACAAAATGTACCAGATGGTTGCTTGCAGCACTATGATGACCTGGACGGACGCATTGAAAGTTTTAATTATGCAGATTCATCGAGAATTCTCGACGCCAGAAGGCCAGGATATTTCGTAAGTATCAAACTTTTTGTACCAAAGACTTCTTCATAGATCAAAGTCATGGTTTTGTGCAAAGGTCTTTAAAGAGGGCAGATATATCTCCACAATATAGAGGCACTACGGAATGTTTCAAAAAGCTGGTGAAGTTAAATTTTCTCTATGTTATGAAAAATGACATAAATTCTCAAGATATGGCAAAAAGTGCGACCAAGATCTTTGGTTCAACAAATAATTTTATTAACTACACCAAATAAGAATTAAGCTAATAACGAAAAATGCCATATATGAACATTTTAGCATTTGGAAGAAGATGCTTTACTGCATACGCATGAATTAAGGAACTCAAAAACATCAATTTTGTATGATATTTAGTTAGGTCCAAATAGTTTATTAACGTCAGCTGTAATTAATTTTTTAAACAAAATCACATGCTTTTTCAACATTTCAGAATAACATGAATTACGCAATCTGCATAACACGGAAACCCGGCCGCTGCGCGGTGACTTATTTCAATGCAGATTTTTTCCAAATTTCAAACGTTGGCCTAGGTAAGAGCATAATGATAATAATTATCACAGATTAAGATAAGTAATATTTCTTAGCATTAATTAATAGATGGAGAACCAATAATTCCTCCTGAACAAGCAGGAGTTGAGGTGTTCAACTGTCCTGATGATTTTATCATCATCAATGGAGTTCGACTTTGTGGAGAAAGACTGAACGATGCTTCATTAATTGAAGACTTTACAATAGATGCACCAGTTGTTGGTAAGAAAGCAAAATAGCTAAATTGTAAACATTATTTTCAATCATTATAGATATGACATCATTGTTATGGAACATATGATATTAGTTACAGTACAAAATTTGCTCATATGTAGACCAAAGAAAATTAGTAAATTAATATAAATTCTCAACTTCTGCGAAAATAATATTTAATAAATATATTGAGCTTGTTCAAAAAATGAAATCGAATACCTTTGTGAAAACAGTTGCAAATCAAGTCTATTTTTATATGGTTGGCAGTATAATCTTATACAATTATTCATCTTCTGTACGAATGCGTATTTTCTATTGATTATGGCAAGAACTGATCAATATTAAATTATTCTAAAACAACTACGTCTCAACATACTATAAGAATCAAGAATTAATTATTTAAACTATTTTTCACCGAAGGGGAGTCCGACAAATATCGACAAGAAATATTAA